TTTAATTGTACTGTTAAACGATAGAATAGCAACTGAAATTTATTAAATATTTTGTATGTTTTTCTACATTTTCATATATAGTGTATTCTGTGTTGTAATTGAAATCAGTGTATATTATTTTTGCTTACAAATATTTGCACTGTAAAAATTATAAACAAAAGAAATAGTATTTTTCAGTTCACCTCATACAAGTACTGTAGTGCAATCTCTTTGTCGTGAAAGTTCAACTTACAAATGTAGATTTTTTTTTTGTTACATAACTGCACTCAAAAACAAAACAATGTAAAACTTCAGAGCCTACAAGTCCACTCAGGCCTACTTCTTGTTCAGCCAATCACTAAGACAAACAAGTTTGTTTACATTTACGGGAGATAATGCTGCCCTCTTCTTATTTACAATGTCACCAGAAAGTGAGAACAGGCATTTGCATGGCACTTTTGTAGACAGCATTGCAAGGTATTTACGTGCTAGATATGCTAAACATTTGTATGCCCCTTCACGCTTCAGCCACCATTCCAGAGGATATGCTTCTATGCTGATGACGCTTGTTAAAAAAATAATGCGTTAATTAAATTTGTGAGTGAACTCCTTGGGGGGAGAATTGTATGTCTCCTGCTCCATTTTACCCGCATTCTGCCATATATTTCATGTTATAGCAGTCTCGGATGATGACTCAGCACATGTTCATTTTCTAAATGTTGTGAGATTTCTAAAATAGCTACAGCCCAAGGTTTAAGAATCCGAAGTGCCTTCCAAAATCTGAGAGGGATGAGGTGTGGAGCATGCTTTCAGATGTCTTCAAAGAGCAACACTCTGAGGCGGAAACAACATAACCTGAACCACCAAAAAAGAAAATCAACCCTCTGCCACAGGCGCCAACTTTTGTTGGCACGGGTGGGTGCTTGCGCCCGCCCTGGCCCCCTCCCTGCCCCTATTGGATTCCCCCCCAAATCCCTGCCCAGTTTCGCGGTGCAAGCGCTGGGAGGGAGGGGGGAGAAGCAGGATGCAGCGGCCGCTCAGGGGAGGAGGCAGAGGCGGTGGGTCGGTGGCATCTGACTCAGATAATGAAAATGAACATGCATCGGTCCGCACTGCTTTGGATTCTTATCGAGCAGGACCCGTCATCAGCATGGACACGTGTCTTCTGGAATGGTGGTTGAAGCATGAAGGGACATATGAATCTTTAGCACATCTGGCATGTAAATAGCTTGCAACACCAGCTACAACAGTGCCAAGTGAATGTCTGTTCTCACTTTCGGGTGACATTGTAAACAAGAAACGGGCAGCATTATCTCTGCAAATATAAACAAACTTGTTTGTCTGAGCGATTGGCTGAACAAGAAGTAGGACTGGGTGGACTTGCAGGCTCTAAAATTTTACATTGTTAAAAAAAAAAAAAAAAAAAAAACTGGTATCAAAAATAAAACATAGTTCTACATTTGTAAGTTCAACTTTCATGATAAAGAGATTGCACTACAGTACTTATATTAGCTGAATTGAAAAATACTATTTCTTTTTGTTTTTTTTACAGTGCAAATACTTGTAATCAAAAATAAATAGAAGCACTGTACACTTTGTATTCTGTGTTGTAATTGAAATCAATATATTGGAAAATGTAGAAAACGTCCAAAATATTTAAATAAATGGTATTCTATTATTGTTTAACAGTGCGATTAATTTTTTTAATTGCATGATTAATCACAAATAATTTTTTTAATCACTTGACGGCCCTAAAATTCTGATTACTCCTAGCATTTCTCAACTGTTTACAGACTATGGCACATCGTCTGTGTTCATGTTGGGCTTCTAATTCCTTTATTTCATTCTCCAAGGACATTGTCTTTTTGTAGCTTGCATTCAGTTACATTAAAATCTGTTAACTTCAATAAGAATACTCCATAATAGTTAGGAGCTCATTTCAATGGAATTGTTTATCCTAATACATTCTTGCAAGACTTCCTCCATGTACCTTTAAAAGTCTCAGGATGGAAAAGCAAACTTTTAAACATTTCCTTACCTGTGTTATACCAAGGGAATTATTAAAATTAAAATAATTTCAAAACTATTCTTTCATCAGTTTTACTTTTTACATGTATCTCTTCTTGGACAATGAATAGATCACTAGGTGGTTTGAAGTCAATGGACTACTCAGTGCAAAGAGTTAAATATGTGTGTAAGTCTTTATAGAGTCATGTTCTAAACTGAGACAAGATATAACATGATAGAAAAATTGGTGGGGGTGAAGTAGACTCAGGGTTACAGAAATAAGAGAATGCATTTTCTATGTTGATGATCTATGCCCCTTGAAGGTTACTTAGGAAACTTAAAAACAGAAATAATGTAGGTTTATTTATAAAGTGTATTTTAAGGAGATGGTGGAAAGTCATGAAGAGGGCTCCATGTATAGGCGGCTAATGAGGAAGAAGGAACAGATGAACATGGAAGAAGGGTAGCATAGTCAGATTCATTTTGATTGTCATGTTCTAACAAAATACTGCAACTAGGGTTGCAAACAAACAAAAAACTCACAAGGGTGTCATCCTGTGAGCCTTCTGTGTACAGGGCTCCTGTTGAAATTGATAGGAAGTTCAGCATGCAGGAGGCTTCCAGGCCTGAGCTCAGTGTTTAGGTTACAAACTGTCCAGAGGAGACAAAGCTTACCTTTGGAATGAAGATAGTTCATAGAGTAATATTTTGCATGTGTCTTGTAAAATATTTTTTATAAAATGTAAATTTTGGGTCAAACATGATGGGGCAGTGTCCCTTTAGAGAGGATTTAACCACCAGCTGAGAGAGATCATTGAAAGAGACATTTTGCTCTGCAAGGAGTGGAACATGACAAATGTTTTACCAACAGTGGTCCCCCTAGCCTCACATCACAGGCCCAGATGCAACATGTCCTCTCCTGGAGGTCTGGAGAAGGTAGGGTGACCAGAGGGCAAGTGTGAAAAATCGGGACAGGGGTTGGAGGGTAATAGGAGCCCATATGAAAAAAAGCCCCAAATATCAGGACTGTCCCTATAAAATCGGGACATCTGGTCACCCTAGGAGAAGGACCAGCATAGTACGTAGCTTTAAAAAGGGAACAAAGAGGACCCAGAGAGTTACAACCCAGTCAGCCTAACTTTAATACCTGGAAAGATACTGGAGCAAATTATTAAACAATCAGTTTATAGGCAGGTAGAGGATAACAAGGTTATAAGGAATAGCCAGTATGGATCTTTCAATTAAATCATGTCAAACCAATCTAATTGCCGCCTTTGACAATGCAATGGATATGCTGCATTTCTCTCTTTTAAATAGCTTCTAACTGAACAATGGATTTTATTTTAATTAACCTTCATTCTGAAAACTAATTCCAAATCTCCTAGACTTACCTTAAAACATCTCCTGTGCAGCCTTTGAGAATGTCCTCCTCTGAATAATCTCTTCACAGTATGTTTCAGGGGCCCAGAGCAGCCGGCAGAGAGGTAAATCACTGTGGGGCAGGAGGCAGCGCTGGGGTGGCTCCTACCCTGCGGTAGGCTCAGCTGCTAGTCCCAGCTGGGCTGGGGAGGACGGGACTTCCTCTTCCCTTGCACGGCATTCGGGGCTGGGTTAGACCCGCTCTCAGATTTCTCTCCTGGCTGAAGGAAGCTCTGCAAACTCCCACCACGCGCTTACTGCACCCAGATTGCCCCACACAAAACCCTTTCAACTCACATCTGGATCCCCCGACACTAAGCCCCTCCATACTTGGATCCTGCTTTGCTGAGCCGACCTGCCCACACATGGTGCACCTGGCACAGAGGGGCAGGGCTCTGGGGTATTTCTGGGGCAGGCCTGGTCCTTGCGCGGTGTCAGGGTTGGGTGCACTCTCACCGCTGAGTCCGTGTCCCAGGGGGAGCTGCACAGTGATCTCCCACCTCTGTGCTGCCAGTGGCCTGTGCTCCCCAATGACATGGTGGAGCCTCCACATTTATTTGACAAATAAAATTTGCAGAATTTTAAAATATTGTGTGCAGACTTGTTAAAGTTTTGGCGCAGAACGCCCTCAGGAGCACCATCGGCAGTACAGGAGAGCATCGCACACTAGCTAGCAGTAATTTTCAAAGGCAATGGGGACCATTATAAACCCTACGGTTATTTTAATTTTTAAAACTGATTTTAAAAGCATTAACAGCAACCATCCTATACAAAGCTATAGCAACTACCAGAATGAGCCCATCGAGCTGGCCAAAGGCCGCCCGCCTCCTGCTAGCAAGCTGGGCACTAGTGTCTTGCCTGCCTCTGGCCTGTTGGCATGGCGGTTGGTTCGGGTCAGCTCAGCGCTCTCTACACAGCCCCCACACCTCGCTGGGGGGAGGCATACAAGGATAAGGAGTTAAAACCCAACACGATTCCAGAGGGACCCATGTGCAGCCCTGGGGTGGGCGTGCGGCTCGTTGCGGGGTTTGTGCCAGTTTTCGAGGGAAGGGGTGTCACATCACAGCTGGCACGGTGCGGCGCTCGCCCTGGGCGGGGAGAGAGGCTTGGCTGAAATCTCTCACCCCCGTCATCATGCGAGTCTCCCCGGCGAGCGAAGGGCAGACCAACCGCCTTTCCCGCGCTTTTGTTCAAATCCCAACGGCCAACGGGCCGCCGGCGGGGGGAGTGGAAGCGCGAGGGGCTGGGCAGCCAATCAGAGAGCAGCGTGCGGAGGCTGGCCCCAGCGGCCGAAATTCGCGCGCTGAGCCTGAGGAGCGGCTGCTCCTCCCGCGGAGAGAGGTGAGGGCGGGGCGATGTCAGCGAGGCCGGCTGTGAGGGGCAGCGCTGCCTGAACGCTCCCCTCCCCCCAGGCTGGCAGGCGCTGGTGTGTGGCAAATGGGGGGAGGAGGGTGTTGAAGCCCCTGGATTTAAGGGGCGGCGTGTGGACGCCTGGCCCTGGGCGCCGTGCCTGAGCGCGGCGAGCGGCCCGGAGACCCCCCGGCTGCGGGCGAAACAACGGTGAAAACAGCCCGCGGGGGTGAGGGGTGTGCTGCCACCCGCCCTCCTCAGCAGGGCTTCGCGAGCTCGGTGGGCCTCCGCCTCTCCGCGCCTCGCCCCCTTCCCGTCCGCCGTCCTGGCGCCTCCCCGAGCAGCGGCGCGGAAAGGCGCGGGGGACACCCGCTGGGCGGCGACAGCTCGTGCCCGACATGTGCCAGTGTTGCCACTGCTGGTGCTGGGCTGAGGCCTTCGCGTCTCGGCTCCTGCGGTTGGGGGAGACTCTCGGCTGTCATTGAAGTGTCCGTTCCGGCCCCCCCGGCTGGAGAGAACAGTGCAGACCTGACGCACGTGCACCCGAAAGGCTCCAGCGTAGAACCCAAGGCAAAGGAGGGCAGCCCTTGTCGAGTTTTACTCGCCTTTAGAAGCTACTGTAATGATTTGAGAGGGGGCAGGATTCATGCTATCTGAATGACTGCCGTTCAGTTCTGCAGGAAGGAAGGGATCTATGCGCCTCTCTTTCCTGTACCTGGCTTTAAAGAAGCTAAGTAGAAAATACAGGTTTTTTGGGGTGGGGGCAATTAAAATTGTTGACACTATGACTAGCTGTAGATGGATCCGTTTGAATATAAACACACCTGGCTACATAAAGGGAGCATACACCCCATCTATATTATGCCCACTAAGAAAAGTAAAAACGGCAGTGAATTTCTTGATGAGGAGAGTGTTGGGGAAAATTATTCCCACTTCATATAACAGTACTTTCCAGTAAAAATTCAGAGTTCTGGATAGTCTGACCTATTTTGCTAATCCTCTGCACTGCCATGCTGAAGTTTCCTAGATTGTGTCCTACCTTGATTTCTTACTCCCTATACCAGCAGAAGCTATGATTTCATTAAAAAAATTGAATAATTAATCAATTACTTTTTCATTTAGTACCACAACAGCTTGAGAAAACTTAGTGATACAGTGATATCACTTAGTGATACAGTCTTTCAGCATTGACACAAGGATGAGGGAAATACCTCTGAAAAAATGTCTACAAAGAGTCAAGGACTAAACAGTATGCAAATCCATCAACTAGTTATCAACACAAACACAGCCTGTTTGCAGACCTGGATTTATCCAGTGCCATTTTGGAGCTTGTAGAGAAGAAAGGACCAGAAAGAAAACATGGTCAGACAGGCAGCTGCTGAATTAGCTAAGAGAAACAAAGTGGAGATACTACAAAAAGGACAGGTTCTAAACCCACAGGACCCCATCCAAGGACTATTAGAATAAGAATAAAGAAAAATTTGTATCAAGAAGGAAAAACAAATTAAATTGTCTCCTAACCTGGGGAAAATGGGTGCACAAAACATAAACTTTGCATCAAAATTATTGCTACAGATTTTCAGAAGTTTAGCTGTTTTTAATGGGAGGGAATTTATTTTGATTTGTGTGTAATATTGTACTGTATTCCTATGCTGTATATCACATGTATATTTGGCCTGGTTTCCCAAATTTGTTCAGTGTAAGTTAGTTCATTCTTTCATTGTAGTTTTAGGAAAGCTAAAAGTAGTATTTTGTCAATACAGGGGAAACTTAAACTGACCATCTTTTCCTTCCATTAATGCCAGAAGGAGTTAGTTATGTAAATTCCCGATTATTAGTGGGAGAATTCAAACTGTTAAGCCTTAGCCATATCAGGTTTTCAACTAACAACTCAAACGCCTAGAATAGATGCTGTTTGCACCAGTGCAGAACAATTTGCACTCATGGAATTTACCCTAGGGTACGTTGTATTGCACAAATCATGTTGCATCAGTGTAAACCAGTTCTGTGTTAGGAGTTTGCACTGGTGCAGCTACATCAGTGGAAGAAATGCCAGTATAAATTTTACTGAACGCAGACCTGGGGAATATCTATACTAATCTTCTTTTCTGCAGCGTTCTTATGTTTCTATAAGTGTATCGTCCTATATGCAGCATATATGTTCAGATGTGCTGAACAGCCTTGTGTCAATTTTATGGATGCTGCATGTGAAGCATATTATCCAAGCGTAAATATTTTGGTGCAAGTATGTATTTACTAATACAGGAAAACAGGTGAATGAGAAAGTAAACAGCACTCAGTAATAAAAATAAATATATACAAAAACATATTCTTCACTAACCTGCCAATAGGTCAAAGGGCCAAAGAAAGTTCTCCCATTGTCAATTTAGGGCCAGATTCTAATACCCTTAAACATAAGTAGTACCTTAATAGGCAACTCGTCCCACTGAAGTCAGTGCTATTACTTTTGGAGTAAGGTACTAAATGTATGACAAAACAGACTGTGGCATTATAAAATTCCTTCCCATTTTCTAATCAGAGACCAAAGCCTTGAAGAAGGAGATCTTTATTTGAAGAGGCCATAGTTTCATCTCCTTCAAAGCCTGGCCCCATACTAACATTCACTATGGAAGAAATATACACTTGAAAATGTATTTAATTAAAACATTATCTTCTCTTTAACCCCTTTAGCTGATATCACTTTGAGTCCCAAGCATTTATAGTATCCAACAAAATGAAGTAATGTAAGTGGTTATACTGTTAATAAGTGTTTTTATTAATTTTGTGTCTAATAAAATATTGTGAGTTTGAATTTGTTTTTGCAAGCAACTCAAAAGTATTTTAGATTTAAAATGTGAAATTTTACTTCCCATTAATCTATAATGAGCATTAATACTTCTTGATATTTTGTTAAAATGGGTAAATTATTTAGGTTTAAAAAGTAGCTACAGTACATATTCAGTAACCACTGTTCAAAGCAATATTTATTACACATACAGAATGTTGCACAGATTGCAGTAATTTTTTGAACTACACAATGTGCGGGGTATGAGGCTACGTCCATCAACTCATTTCACATAGACCGTCAACAACTGGTGGTAACTTTTGGTCAGTATTGAGGGTCTTTATCCCATTGCTTATTATATCACCTGAGTGATCCATTCAACAATTTAAACATTAAATTTTGCAGAATTCAAAGATTTTATAAAACTATAGGGGAAAATAAGGTAACATACTTTAAAATGCCTTGACATTGTTCTCATTGCAGTTGATTCTGATTAATTGTGAGTCAGAACTATTTGTGTATCTTGCTACAGTTATCACTCTTCACACAGGCAAATACTCCTGCCTTTTTCTCCATATGGCAATAAATGTCTAGGTTCAAATTGTATGCATTTTAGCTGCCTTAACAGAAGAATCCATTAGTTCAGTGTAGAACTTCTTCAATCTTCCAATTATATTACTGAGTTGAGGGAAGCAGGGAAAAGACAAACGGTCTGTTTCCCTCTTGAGCTTGTAAACAGCTTATTTTTATTTGTCCTAGACTAGGAATTGTCAGAAAGTCAGCAAACACTCATTTAATAGTATTTATTATTTTTGGTATGCAGTAGCTAAGTACAAGTGTTTGAGCACAGGTATAAAATAATCTTATTCAAGTATTACAAAAAAATGGAAACATTAATATTGATTAATTGAATCAACTGCTCATGTGGTGGGATTTGGTTGGTAGTTTTTGAAAGCACCTACAAACTAATTATGCTTTTGAGTGTCAAGGATTGTGTACAGAGAAAAATGTTCAAGATACATTTTTTGTCAAAAATGTCAAAAAATTACATTAATTTGCCAGTTTAAAATTTTGTCTATTTCCATAATATATGTTGACCAGATACTGTGGTTTATATATAGTACAGGTATTTGAGTGAGATGCAAAGAGAGTTCATTGAAAATATCCTGGAAGGTGGATAGTGACAATAAAACAGGTGAATGTTCCTCAGATGAGATTGTAGTTTTACAAATAAAAAAGGGGAAATGAATGGGTGGCAGCCTCCTTTAGCCATAATTCTTGTAAAGTTAAAAGCTCAGAGAATTTTGAAAAATTAAGAAATCAGAAAAATGTTATTAGCACCAAAATAAACTGGCATTTAGGGAGATTATGAAGTTTAAATCAGGCATTTAAAAGAGACCGTTTTAAAAACATACTAAACTTTTACATTCAAATGCTTCCTAGTCATACCATTGGAGAAGGAAATCATAAGCAAGTCCTTTTGTTTTCTAGTCAGCTATTTGTGATGCTAAGTACACTTAAATTTCTAGAAGACTACTCTTTTTTCCCCCTGAAAAATTGGTATTTACAAATACATTTGGTCCAGGTTGACTAGTGAGCAAACACCACTAGCCATGGGCAGGAAAAAATATGGAATTTATATTGTTCCCTCAACCTTGCCTCTCCTTAATTTCCTAAAAAATTTCTTTACAGAAGACACTAAAGTAGAATTGCCATCTTTGGAAAATCTTATGTCCACATACGACGCATCATAAACTGTGGTTCCGGTTCGAAGAAAAGAGAGTCTACTTATACTGGGCTGCATCACATCAGAGGTAATATTAAAAAAAAAAAAAATTCAAAACCAAATAGTACTGAGGTGGGAACTATACCTTCTCTGATTTTTTTTTTTTTGGTTAACTTTTTTTTTTTAATAATTGCCCTACATTTCTGGTATATAGTATCTGTGTGTGATGAGAGAATCCCATGTCAAGGGAACTTTCCCAGCTACCAGAGTCACAGACTTTGAACTGAAACAAAACAGTAAGACCTTTAGATATATGTTATGCTAGAAAAAACAAGTCACAATTTGGAAGAGTGGTCAATTTCAAATTCATTAATAGTTTGCAGTCTTTTTTTCCCCAACATTATTCTTTATAATATGATTCATAGATTCTAGGACTGGAAGGGACCTCGAGAGGTCATCGAGTTCAGTCCCCTGCCCGCATGGCAGGACCAAATAATGTCTAGACCATCCCTGATAGACATTTATCTAACCTACTCTTAAATATCTCCAGAGATGGAGATTCCACAACCTCCCTAGGCAATTTGTTCCAGTGTTTAACCACTCTGACAGTTAGGAACTTTTTCCTAATGTCCAACCTAGACCTCCCTTGCTGCAGTTTAAGCCCATTGCTTCTTGTTCTATCCTTAGAGGCTAAGGTGAACAAGTTTTCTCCCTCCTCCTTATGACACCCTTTTAGATACCTGAAAACTGCTATCATGGCCCCTCTCGGTCTTCTCTTTTCCAAACTAAACAAACCCAGTTCTTTCAGCCTTCCTTCATAGGTCATGTTCTCAAGACCTTTAATCATTCTTGTTGCTCTTCTCTGGACCCTCTCCAATTTCTCCACATCTTTCTTGAAATGAGGTGCCCAGAACTGGACACAATACTCCAGCTGAGGCCTAACCAGAGCAGAGTAGAGCAGAAGAATGACTTCTCGTGTCTTGCTCACAACACACCTGTTAATACATCCCAGAATCATGTTTGCTTTTTTTGCATCAGCATCACACTGTTGACTCATATTTAGCTTGTGGTCCACTATAACCCCAAGATCCCTTTCTGCCGTACTCCTTCCTAGACAGTCTCTTCCCATTCTGTATGTGTGAAACTGATTTTTCCTTCCTAAGTGGAGCACTTTGCATTTGTCTTTGTTAAACTTCATCCTGTTTAACTCAGACCATTTCTCCAATTTGTCCAGATCATTTTGAATTATGACCCTGTCCTCCAAAGCAGTTGCTTTGAGAAAAAACATATAATCAATTGTAATTTTGCATAATATCCAACCACTTTAACACTGAAATACATTGGATAAAACATTAAGGTGCTTACAATAAATATTTTTATATAAACAGATTATAGCAAAGATAACTTACTTTAGTGCAGTCATAATGCATCAAAGTAGTCATTACACAAAAATTTACAAGGAAAACATAAAACAATAAGCTGTTTTTTCTTTTGCTTTTAATATACCTATTCATTCTTTGGAAAATTTATTCTATCACCTAGAAAGTGTGGAATACTGCTAGACGTACAAGAAAACTACTGAATATATTGCAGCAACAAGCACAATAGCCACATGGACTTAATACATTGTGCATTTGAGAGGAGGATTTGGCCCATTAAATCCAAATCTAACAGTTCACAATGTGTGGGTGAATTGGTTATGCCCATGTGTTGAAAAGTTTAACACAGAAATTGAACTTAGTTTTTCTGTTTTTAAATCTTTACCATAATTGAATTTGGAGCCTTTATAGTTGATATTTAATGCATTGCTGGCAAATTCCAGCCACTGTTGCCCTTAACTAATTTATCATTTTAAAAAAATCTTTTTCATATGCAGTGTGTTGGGGGATTTTTTTAATCACAAATAGATTTTTATTACAATTTCGTCGTGTTCCGATGTAGAATGACAGGGCTATACTTTTAGTACCTCTGTTGTTTGTTCTTTTTGTTACTTTATTATATATTATCTTGGGGAAAAACCTCTGTAAAATGTAAAATATTGGAAAGATTGTTAGTTTTGTAGGGCCTGATCTTGCAAACACTTGTGTAGTACTTTTTGCTGTCCACAATCCCATTGACCTCAAATGAAGTAGTGAACATTACCGCTGGAATTTTCAAAGAGGCCTAAAGAAGTTAGGCACCCAACTCTTATTGAAAGTCAGTAGGATTTGTGCATCTAACTCCCTTCGGCCCATTTGAAAATCTCTGCCTACACCAACTAGTAAATATACAAGTTTGGGCCCTCAGATGCTTAGGCTTTGATCATGAAACGCTATTAAAACATGTGTCACTTACTCATTTGAGCTAAATTACACATATGATTATTAAATGCTTTGCAGGATCAGGATTTATGGTCTTAATCCTACAGTGTTTTGCACTGGCATAGCTTTGCAATGTCCCATTGAAGTAAATGGGACACCATACTGACACAAGGAACTGAGCAAGCTGATCTTTTGGTAAGTTCAAGGCCCATGTGATTTTTATTTTGTGAATATGTATAATATATTACTTCAAATTTAATATTGAAGAGTAACATTATTTGCTAAATAAACTTTATTTTAAACATGCCCTTTACTGAGCCATTGTCTTTGCTCTCAAAATGTAATTGAGTCTGCATCTCCTCTTGCCCTCAAAAGATAAATGGAACAGTTGCATGCATATTTGCTCAGTTACATTCAGCAAAATTTCTAACTCTGAATTGCTAGGACCCAGGAAATTAAACAGGCATTTAAAAACTGAATTCATGCTTAACTGTATTCTGTATAAGGTGCTTTCTTAGGTAAACTAAGAAAGTGAATAACTCGTTTCTGAATTTTCCGTGGTTTCTAAATCTGTTAGAAGTTTGAAAATAAAATGTCTTTCTACAACACTTAACCTTTTAATTCAGGCAAATATGGATTTCTCTCCCCTGGCCTGCTCAGTGTTTCATGATGATTATTTGTTTTTCTGCCACTATTATCAGTGATGTTAGCACAACTCAAGGAATTGTGTTAGCTAAATACTACTGTAGAACCTGCAGAAGGAGCACAAGAGCATCACAATTGTGTGTGTTTGTGATTTTTTAAATCGATGGATATAGTAATATATGTTTTTCAAATGGATATTTAGAATAATGTATCACCTTTAAAGATTTGGATTTGGCAGCTTCAAGACGAAGTAATTTTCTTACCCAAATTACGTTTTGGCCTATTTTAATCCTGGAAGGGGAGAATGACAGGACAGATTAATCAAAGTCCAGAAAACTCTAGGCCTTAATCCTGCAAACTCAAAAGCATGTGTATAACTTTATTTAAGTGAGTAGCCCCACTGATGTCACAGGACTACTTGCATTAGTAAAGTTATACATGTGCTTAAGTGTTTGCAGGATTGGCGACTTAATTTAGAAATCTGGAGAGCTCCAGAATTAAGTAGGTCAACTAAACTATTTGGCAATGCCTCTCCAAGCAGAAAATACTTCCAGTTTGTTTTTCCCTGATGCTATGAGCACAAATAGGGTGACATTCCAGCAGTTTTTAATACAAGTTATAACTTTTCCCTCCAAATTTAACTTCAGTATATTAGTGCAGTGAATTGAATACACAAACTGTTGAATGAAATGCACAAAAATGCAACATAGCTCTTCCTGAGTATAAACAATCTATCATAATTTGTGCTAAGAGCCAATACCATTTGGTATAATGTATTTCTAGTAAGATGTAAAGAAGCTCCAATAGACAAATAGTACTCAGTGTTGCATAGCACAAAAGCTACTCTGTCATCCAATAGAATGGCAGAGAGCCACAATATAATTCTGGAGAGAAGTTCTCACATTGTGATGAGATTAGGGTTGTTGCATTGAAGTGGCTCTGTCTTCACATTGATGAAATCTCATGGTGCAGACATCGCAATACAATGTCAAGACATTGCCCCACAATTTATTCTGTGGCTTTCTGCAGCTCCTTTTGATGCAACAACAACAAGGAGTCTGGTGGCACCTTAAAGACTAACAGATTTATTTGGGCATAAGCTTTCGTGGGTAAAAACCTCACTTCTTCAGATGCAACAGTTTTTCTTTCCCCTCATATCTCTATTTCCTGCCAGCCATTAACAAAGGAGTAACAAACCCTGCAGTTTTTCTCCTATCATCGTTTGGATGGTCACGAAGGCATCCTGCCAGCTCTGGTACATTTACCTAGCACTCCCCATTTTGCCTTGTATATTGGGCAGCTTGGCAAACTCTCCTGTATTTGTCACTCTGCTCGCTTTGCCTGTGAGTAGGTAGAGTAAGGGTCATGTCAGTCAAACCTGTAGACTCCCTGACAGGCCCATAAAGAGTCTCTTTAGGAAGGCTTTGGAGTCAGGGATTTTCAACCTGGGATCTGTGGACCTGTGGGGGTCTGCAGACCATGTCTAAGATTTCCAAAGGGGTTTGCGCCTCCATTTGAAATTTTTTAAGGGTCCCAAACTGAGAAAAGGTTGAAAACCACTGCACTAGACCATCCAGATGCAAAATTTAAATAGCATTTAATTTGAAAAGAAGTTTAGTTGGGGATTGGTCCTGCTTTGAGCAGGGGCTTGGACTAGATGACGTCCTGAGGTCCCTTCCAACCCTGATATTCTGTGATTCCATGAGACAAAAGTGGTTTCACTTTCTATGGACATTGTCAGAAAAATAATCAACCACAAAGGATTATGATTTGGTATTCTGTCCAGACCCTTCCTCTACATACAAAAATTATTCCCTGGTATTTTCTGCTGCTCTTTTTTTCCTCTTCCAGAATCAGGTATAGCTATTTTTAAATATAATTTCTATCTCATTTGAAATGATTTGAAAAGTTCTTGACACCATACTTTTAATAACCATTTCAAATCCTATTTTAATAGAAAGTATCCAATACAACGGTACTTCACAAAAATGTTGTGGCTGGTTCTCTGTGTGTATTCTTCAACATCTTGATTCAAAGGTTGTGAAATACCTCCTCCTCCTCCTCAGCCCATCTGGATAAAAATAGGGACTAAATATGAATAATTTTCCCGCCACGTAAAAATTCTACTAAATTGTTGGTTTTATCTTTAAAAAAAGTTTTGATTCCTTTTTAAACACATTAAAATGTGTGAAACTTCCTGCTACAGTGTATTTATTGCTTTTTGTTTTATTTTGTCAGGAGGCTAATCCTCTCATAATTTTTGCATAGTTTGCAGTATATGTGTGTCTTTCAGCCAAACTTTCTTTTGAGGAGGTTGTGAAAATGTTTTTAATATGTGCATTTTCTGTAGTGGTCTGCAGCAGAAGTTGTGGACATCACTAACTTCAGAAAAGTGTTTGGAGAAGATTTTATTTCTGTATGCCTTGATTTACGCATTAAGTTGTAAATACCTTTCATAAAAATATTTGATAGTTGTTTCTTTTCTCCAGGTGCTCATTTGGTTTATGAAAATACAAAAGATGGGTGGTTTGATTAAGCTATTAATGGCTGTATTGGTCAACATCACTTTGGCTTTAAGCTAGTGAGCCATATTTTTTTCAACATTTAAAAAAATACGCTACCAATAGTATGAGAGCGGTCTTGAATTTCCTGCAGATCAGTTCTGGGGAAAAAAGATAGTTCTTATTCAAATGGACACAGTTCTGATTTATTTTACTGGAAGGTGCAAAGAGTAAGACAGACAGTGTGACTGTTAAGACTGTATTGGGACAAAAATAATGTAACTGGGTTGTTTTGTGGTTCACACTAGTGCTATAGGCTTGGATCCAGAATTATTCAAGTAGGCTGTGGACACTGTATCCAGTTCCATAAAGGCAGAGTAAAGAGTAGTGAGTTGTAAGTCGGGTAAGCTGCTATGTGGAGTGCTATTCTGGGTGGTGAGGGTATTGCTGCTGCTGTTACTATCCATCTGATAGTGAGAAGGGAAGCACTGAGAGGATATTGGGGATGTTGAAATGAGAACCAAGGGATCCACAGCCAGGCTGTCATCTTTCAGTTCTTCCCAAAGATTTCCTATAACAAAAAACAAAACCAACACACTGATGTAGTCTTCAGCTTTCGTGTGTGCGTGTTTGCTTTTGTTTCTTTTATGTAAGAGATACTAGTGAGTGCACTCTTGGTGCATCATGTCTACTACTGAGCGCTTGTGAGATAAAACAGACAGCAAGAACTGTTTTACATCATCAGCTGACAAATTCACATTCAGCGGCATATATACTTTCATTTAAAACTAATTTCTAGCCCATATTGTCGTGAACATGCCTTTGAAAATGTGAACTGATGAATTTTCAACTGAAAGAAGCAACAGCTTTTAAAACTGCATGTATGAATGGTCAAATAAGCAAACATCAGAAATGCTGCTTGTCCTAAAAGTGTACACTGCCGTTTCTCACTGAATGATGCAGAACGCAAAGGTGACACTGATTAAAAGTTAAGCTACTGCATGAGGGCCATATTCTCCGCTCACTTATTGCGGGAGACTTTCTGTGGATATGGGGGAGTATATCTCCCTAAATTTGTAACTACGGTTTATGCATCATAATGTGAAATATAATTTAGCCCTCTTCCTAGAATAAATTTGACGTACTCCATGTAAATGAAGTCTGAATTGGCCTTAAGTTTGTGAGATGTTTGACAACTTAACAAGTCCCATTTTTTACTTATTAGACAGTAAACCCCAAACCCAAGGCCAGATCATTTTGTAGAATAAAAAAGGCCATAGAGTAGAGAAAGGGAAGTAATTTAAGATGGAATGGCTGAAAAACTTGTGCAACAGCAGCGCTGGTGCTTGGTGGCATCATGCCAGGGGGGTCAAAGGTACAGAGTACAGGGAACACAAATATGTGTGTACACAAAATAAGGTATTTAGAAGTGGTGAGGAGCCAAGAGAGAGGAATGGACTGTTGAATTTTGTATTTCAAAATGTGCAGAATGGTGCACTTAGAAATCCACCTGTTTAGTCATCAGTAACTAATGGAGAAATCTATACGCTACAGGTTTTTTTGATCATTTGGAGATGGTCTGGCAGCTTCTGATACCATTGTTCCCCGTTGCCTTAGATCTTGTTGTCAATGGAGCTGGAACAATATTTTGCACCAGTGCCTTGCCATGATAATGATGTGCACTCAACCCTATTGGATTCACAGGCTTGCACTGTGCCTCTTCCGTTTCTACTGCTGTACTCTGTTGTATTTCCATGAGGACGTTTGGTATGCCTCTTGTCCCCTGCAGCTGGGCAAACCCTACCCTTCCTATGGCATGATCCATCAGGAGCTCTACAGCCTCTAAGCCATAGATTTTTCACCTAACTTTGGCTCTTCCACTGATGATTATTTTTGCAGTGGAAGGGTGATTTGGGCCTTGAGCACTATATCTAGTCAAAGGAAGATTTGTTTGGCTGAGAACAGGAGCTTGGATGTCTGCACTACACAATCATTTCAGCAAACTTTACCAAGTGTAGGTCGTCAGTGAAGTGATCACTCAAAC